CCCCCGATAGCTTTCACTTTCACACAATCTTTACGTACAAAACGTAAAAACTTTTGTTTGCATTCAAGCCTATTTTGAAGACGGTGTCTCCACTCACTATTACCAAGTCCACAAAAATGAAAGTGAGTGATGTTTTTGGAACGTAGGTAATTTGTAAATGAGTATTATATAGTTTATGATATTATATAGATCTAGTATGAGATACCCGGTATGTGCATTTGTAATTTCTGCATGCGAGTTAGCTCTTAACTTAGGCTATAAGAAAAAGAAATAAAAGGCACGCACAAACAAATATTTTCTATATCTTTTGTACATAACGTCAATTAGCTGAGCAAACTGTATTAATTCATTGGGATTTACACATTCACCTGCCTCTCATGGCCACTAACTATAACAATATGTTGTCCATTTCGAGACTTAAAATGACTACGCTGTTTGTCTTGTCGATTCACGAATAGAAGGCAGCTTTGAGGGTTGAATAAGTTGGACACTCATGAAGCCTTATACGAATTTGAAGGGGGGGGGGGGGGATTAATATTATCTCTTCCGCCCCCTGGTTCGACTGTTGAAGCCTTGTAAACAACTAATGCAGATGATAAGTTGATTAGCACATAGATCTATATATTATCAGTCACTTATCAGCCAAGTGGGTATGGGCGTCCCTCGTGAAGAAATCCCAATTTTGAATCAGGGTCACTCGAACCATGATAGTAGGCCTATCGATAGCCCATCGAAATATCAACTTGCTGAGCTGTCACCGCACCGACTGATGCACTGCGTTTATTACAAAAACAAACAAAAGAAAATAAAATCTGATAAAATTAAAATGTTACATTAAATTGTTAATTTTCTTTTTTTAAATTAAAAATAATTTCGAGATAGTAAATTTTAACGTTGTGGCCATTAAATATAACTAGAAAAACAGAGACGGACCTGTTCCGACTGTAGTGTGACCCCAACACTGTGGACAAATATAACAATACAATTTGGCTCTCATGACTTTATGCAGTTGCGAGCACCGTACGTAAAACCTCTACTAAAACAAACATAACAAGACAATGCAGGCCTATCCATTTCAAGATTTCTTTGCCTTTGGGGGTTAGATAAGTGGACACCACATCCTCGTACACGTATGTATGGGAGGGGGTGTGGGGGTGTGGTGGTATCATCTCTCCCGGCCCCTGGTTCGACTGTTGCAATCTTGTAAACAGCTACTGCAGCGAAATAAGTTGCGGTTCTATAAGCTCATAGATCTGTAAATTATCAGTCACTTATCAGCCAATAAGTGGATGGGCGTCCCGCGTGAAGAAAACCCAATATAATAAGAAGTTTGAATCAGAGTCACTCGAACCACGATAGTCCACCAAGATAGGGGCCTACTAACTGAGATGTCTCCGCACCGACTTGAGTTTTTAGTTTTAGTAATTGTTTTACGGTACTAGCAACATAAGGTCATATACGTGCCGTAGATCTTTCAGCCACACCCCTGATCTTCTGGTAGGAAAGATCTACATCTAGCCTTCTTGGACAAGGGCAAAAAATCTCGGAGGTCCCGTGTGCAAGGAGCCAAGGAGTAGCAGTAGAAAGGCTGTAGAAAGAGTCAGGAGCCCAGATGAGGGGGCAAAGTGGGTGGGGGCAGAAAGTGGAGACGAAAGCAGACGACAGAACCATTGCTAGAGAGCAGGACATGAGGTGAAAGGAGATAATTTTAGAGAATAAAGTTTTAAAGGTCGCTACCCGGATTTGAACCCGGGACCTTTGAATGAGAGGCCAACACCTTAACCTTTAGGCCACGAGAGCCCCCTCCAGAAGCTACTTATAAGTATTTAATGTAGTTGAGATTTTAATAGTTATTATCATAATTAGAAGGGCAACAGTAAGTCTGATTCGTAGCCGTGGGGCCTAAGTAAAATTTGACTTTTCCGAACTTTCGTTCAAGACCCTGATTTAATTTAACTTCCCCCGATTCTTGTGTGCTTTTTGTGTCTGTATTGGTTTAGCCTCAAAGATTAAAGTAGACAATAGTAAAATAGTACATGTAGTAAAATCTTATAATTATACCAGTATGGCCTTTGTTTGTAGAAGTAGAACAGGGAAAGGAAAAAAAAAAGAAAGAAAGATGAAAGAGGAGGAGAGTAAACATTTTGGATAAGAGGAAAGAAGGCAGGCGGGATGGAAAAAGAAAGGAAGGAAGGAAGGAAGGAAGGAAGGAAGGAAGGAAGGAAGGAAGGAAGGAAGGAAGGAAGGAAGGAAG